GATTAAAAACCTGGTCAATATCAACTATGTCTGGAGATCGTTTGAATGGTTTAGCATTGATGTATAAACATAGAGATATAGTTCCAGATAATCAAAAAGTTATCAAAAATTTAATGCAAGGAAATGGTAATCACAAGTTAAACCTTTCGTGAGAAATTAAACACTTCAGTTATTCAGAGTTTGAATACATTTTATTTGTTATTATTTATTTTGGATGTTTAATATTCAATCATCTTTATAAATGTTGTAGTAAAATAAAATAATTATCTAGTTGACACCAAAAGTGTATTGCATTCATTTGTATGTATATGTAGGGTAAAAATTTTATTACCTAAAAATACATTTGTATTTTTGTGTATATAAAGATTAAAACATTTAAACATTTTAGTAATTAAAGAGTTATGGAAAAACTTTCTGGTTGAAACAGTACAGTACAATACATTATTTATCTTAATTTTTATTTCATTAAATTAGCAGTTTACTTTCTGTTGGGATTTTTGTTTTAGAAAAAATTGTAATATTGTTAAAATGTTTTTTAAAGTTATTTAGTAATATTGTTCAGGAAACTCTCCTAAACAGTATTTCTAAACAACTTGCACAATTTAATTTTTTGTTGTTCAAAATTGCAACTACTATTCCAGGCATTTGATTTAGACGGTTTGTGTAAATTTTTAAGCATCGGTAAGTTATCGGTAAAGTTGGAAACGGAGAGCCAACTTATAAATGTTATTCTCCTTGTGGCGGTGCTCTGTGACAAGACCATTAAGACTTCTTAGAGCACCTTATTAACAAAACAAAACAAAAAAGTTAAGGGGGAGGGGAGGCAGTCATATAAAAAAAATCGCCAAAGGAGATTATATATATATATATATATATATATATATATATATATATATATATATATATATATATATATATATATATATATATATATATATATATATATGATTCAGTTCCAAAGAAAATGATAAAATTAAAAGCACTCGAAGTAAATAGATTAAATAATGGATCTAAAACTTTTTTTGTAAGTGATAGATGGTTAACGAAATTTAAAAAGTGCCACGGTTTACAGATTTTGTCTGTTTGTGGATAGAGTAAAAAAGAAACTTTTTACTTAATTACATTGCTAGTTTACAACGCGCATCTATTAGAATAATGACGTTTTCCCCAATGATATCTGATATCAAAAAAAAAAATTTCTGAACTAAAAATCTTAAAACTCCATAATCTTGTAAAGTTTTATAATTGTCTTTTTGTGTTTGACTTTCTCCAAAATAAACTACCAAGCTCTTTTTCAAATTTTTTTATTAAAACAAACGAAGTTCATAATCATCACACCAGGAATACAGAAAATAGTAAGCTATACTATTCTTTTTTCAACACAATCAAATATGGTAAGTTTTCCATAAGACAAGAATGTATTTCTCAATGGAACCAGTGTATTCCTGCATTAATAAAAAAGTCTAAGAAAAAATATCAACTTGTTACGAATTTTTTACTGCTAAATAGAATTCAATTTAAAAATATATTGTTGGAGTGAATTTCTTTATAATTTCTCTCTGTACTGTAGTTGTCTTCAATATATTATCTCTTTAACGAACAAGTGGTTTGATTTTTACTTTATTTATTATTTACCTATCTTATATTTATTTATTATTGTGTTATTAATGTTACATTTTATGTGATTATTATATCTAGTTATTATCTATGATTTGTACATACAATTTATATTGTATTATAATATTCTTAATATTATTGGTACTTTATTAATATTGTTATTATTTTGTATTATTACTATTATTTATTTGACAATCTTTTTTTCTTTTCTCTCTTATTTATATATACAGGTATTGAGTTTTTCCTGTTATTTTTTTTTTTTTTTTTTACCATTTATTTATTTTTTCGTGAAATTATTACGTTTTTTAGGTGTTACTCCATTGACTAGTTTGTAACTATATGAGTGACACCTAACCAGTTTATATTATTTTACGATGAAATTTGTAAATTTTATTGATATGGTTAAATAATAAAAAAAAAGTATGTCTTGCAATGTGAAGCAAGTTAATTCATTTAAAAAAAAAAATTTAAACTGTTATATTGCTAAAAATGGCTTTTTGCCTTAACAAATATATAACTGCGACAAAATTGGTCTTGTCTATAAAAGCTTGTCCAATAAAATTAATGTTACAAATTTTTTGAAAAATCCTCTGCTAGAAGAAAAGCAATGAAGGAAAGAGTAACAATTATGCCATGCGTAAACGCGACAGGTATGCATAAATTACAGGTATGCATAAATTAGATTTGATGATGAGAGGGAAATTAAAATTTCCTCGTAGCTTCAAAAATATGAGTTTTCCAGTATATTATAAATCCTCCAAAAATGCTTGGCAAACTTTTACACATTTTAACGACTGGGTAATGATATATTCATACCTTCATTAATTCGACACTTGAAAACTAAAAAACTTCTTGTAAAAGCCCTTCTTTTAGTAGATAGTGTAACTTGTCATGATACTGAAAAAAGTTTTACTGGTAACCCGAATTTCAAAGTTACATTTTTTTCCTCTAATAACACGTAATAATAACACACCATTATTGCAAGACCTAGATTAAAATGTGATAAAATCACTAAAACAACGCTATCGCAAACATCTACTTGGATGTCTTGCAGCCTTAGGTGCAGAAAATGGAATAGTTTCAGCACTGAAAAATATTAATTTGAAAAATGTTATTTATTTAGTGGTGCAGGCATGGTCTTAAATTTCAGTGTCAGTTATACAAAATTCATTTAAACATCTTTTTTCGTCAAGTGACGAAACTCAATACAACATTCCTTCCGATCACTTTTCAGAAGAAGATGATATTTTCTTTGAAAGATTGAATAATTCGATATTTAATTATTGTAATTTAGCAGATACTGAAATTATAGAGTGGGCAAGTGGAACAAGCGAAGCAAATCATCTATTTAACCTTAAAAAAAATCCTGAAGCAGAAAGTGAAACTACTCCTGTTGAAGAAAAAGAAAAAACATTGGATGACTCCTATAAAAACATCTATGATATTATTCTTTTTTTTTTTATTTAGTGGTAGAACGCGCAAAAGAAAACGACTTACCCGGCAATGAGGTTCTTTTGTAACTAAAAATAAGAGAAAAAGCTATCATGAACAAATATATGTAATTGTTTTTGTTTGTTTTCGCAATTAGTGCTGTACTAAACCAAAGATTTATTAAAATTTGATTGTTTAATTTTTTTTTTTTTCTTGATAAAATTCTTAACTATGCTTATATGATAATAGTAATAATAAAATATTTTCTTTTGCAAAATAAAACTGAATTTATTTATTCTACGCAGTTTAGTTAGTAAAAGAAATAGGTAGAAAGATTTTACTTATTTCTTTTACTAACTAAACTAAAAGTTTAGTATTAGTAAAAGAAATAACGGTAAGTGTTTTTATACTCCTTATTTCCTTATAAGCTCTTCCCAATAAGAAACTTTTTTTATTGAAATTGGTTCAAATGAGTTGCTTATATAGAGCATTCACTGTATTTTTCATTTTTATGCCAAAAAAACTGTATTTTTAATTTTAAAATCGTTTAACAAATGGGGGGGGGGGGGGGTTGGTGCGGCGCGGGGCCCCCTGCGATAGCCGCAGCAGGGGGTGCGCCAGTGCGGCGCCTGGACTGGGGGAGGGGGTCGGGTGATCCTCTTTTAGGAGAGAAGAAAACCGAAAAGTTTTTTTGATTCCCTTGTTTTTAATGGGTTGAATGGTTTATAAAAGGTAATTCATTAAAAGTATGATGACTGGGAAAATTTTTAAGAATTTTAATTATTTGATCTTCTAAAAGAAGAAGAGTAAACTAATGGAAAGTTATTTGGCTCATGACCAGAATATAAGGGTTCGATTCCTTTCTCTTTATTTTTGAATAAGAGCAATTTTCTTTTGATTATGGAGAAATAAAAGTATGAGAATCGTTTATACATGTTAGTGGAAGCAAATAAATGAGTAAAATAGGGTAATACCTGTTTTGTATCAGGTTAAAAATTTTAATATATTTTTATCCTAAGACGCATAGCTTAAGCCATGTTTTTACTGAAACAAAGAAAAATTAACAGCAGTAAAGAAATTTATACAATTAAAGTAATTTAGATATAAAGTAATCGTAAATTTTGTCTAATTAAGTGCCAGCAGACGCGGTGATACTTAAGAAATAAATTTTTATAAAAAAATAGGTTAAATGTGTATAGAATTAAGATTGTAAAATTAAGATTATTGATTTGGTAAAATATACAATAATTAAAAATTTTAAGAATTTTACGAAATAACTAGAAACTTGAATAAATGATAATTAAACAGGATTAGATACCCTGGTAATCTTTTTGTTAATAATTAATCTGAACAGTATACCTAAACAGGTGAAAATCGAATATTTTGGTTGTTTATTTTTCTAATTAGAGGAGTATGTAATTTAATTCGATAATCCGCGAAATACCTTACCTTTTCTTGAAAATACAAGTGTTGCATGGTTGTCTTCAGCTTTAACTTATAGTTAAAGCATAATTCTTAAAAGAATAAAGTCAAATATTATGGCCTTTATGAAAAGGGATATTATGTACTACAATAAATATTATAATATAAATTTATATTTGGATAATCAATGTAAACTGATTTAAAAGAGAATTTAATAGTAATTAAAAATATAAGGTTTTAATGAATAAGTGCAAATATTAATACAAATAGCCCGTCGCCTTGATCATAAAAGATAGAGTAAGTCGTAACATAGTGGGGGAAAGGGAACTTTTCCCTGTGATTTATAATCCAATCATGAATGAATTTTTCTTTTTTTTCTCTATTTTAATAATTTTAGGGTGTTTAATGTGTATTAATTCTTTAAACCCCATTCATTCTGTTTTTTGATTAGTAACTGTATTTTTTTTTTCTTTTGCTTTATTAATTAATTTAAACTTGGAATTTTTGTCATTATTATTGATAATAATATATGTAGGGGCTATAGTAATATTATTTTTGTTTGTAATAATGATGTTAGATATAATTCAAATAAAAAAAAACTCTAATATAAACAATATAATCCCTATAATTTTAATTATTCTAATTTACTAACAATAAAAATTATTAATAAAGATATATTTCTTTCTTATCATCTAAATAATGATTTTTTAAATTTTAATTTAATAAATCATTACAATTTTCATAATCTAGCTTTATTTTTTTATTCTAAATATTCTATAAATTTTATATTAATTAGTATTATTCTATCCATAGGCATGATAGGAGTAATTGTTTTAACAATTACTTATAATTCTAACTCAAAAAAACAAAAAATATTTATTCAACATTTAAGAAATAACTCATGAAATTAAATTTGTTTATTTATTTATCCATAAGTTTTATTCTTAGTTTTATAGTTTTATTTTTTTCAATTTTTCTTTCTTTTAAATCACCAGATAAAGAAAAGGTTTCTATCTATGAATGTGGTTTTAATCCTTTTCACTCGACTGGCCAACCATTTTCTATAAGATTTTTTTTAATTTCTATTTTATTTTTAGTATTTGATTTAGAAATAATTTATTTATTCCCATGATCAGTAAATTCAAACTTAATAGATTATTATTCACAATCTATTATATATTTATTTATAATTATATTAGTTATAGGATTAATTTATGAATGATTAAGGGGGGGGTTTAGAATGAGAATAATGTTATTTGATTTTAATTTATTAGTAGTAATTATGTTTTGTATTAGTATTATAGGTATAATTATAAATAGAAGTAATATAATATTAATCTTAGTTAGTATAGAAATTCTATTACTATCAATTTCAATGAATTTTATGTTAACTTCATTAACTAATTTTTCTTTAGATGGACAAATAATAGCAATATATATAATAACTATAGCTGCTATTGAATCAGCTATTGGGTTATCAATAATAGTAGCTTTTTATAAAATAAAAGGATCTATTTCTTTAAAATTATTAAATTTATTAAAAGGGTAATGAAAAATATATATTTAATTATTTTAGAAATTGTAAAGTTTTTAACAATTGTTATTCCAGTTTTAATCTCTGTAGCTTATTTAACTTTAGCAGAAAGAAAGATTTTAGGCTATAGTCAAAATAGAAAAGGCCCTAACGTAGTAGGAATATATGGATTATTACAACCTTTAGCTGACGGTGTAAAATTATTTTCAAAAGAATTAATTATTCCTAATCATGTAAATATTTTTCTTTATTTATTTTCTCCTATATTAGCTTTAAGCTTATCATTACTTATTTGAATAATTATCCCATTAGGAATTAATAATTTAATTTTTGATTTTAATTTGGGAATTATGTTTATCTTTGCTATTTCTTCTATAAACATATATTCTATTCTTTTATCTGGATGATCAAGTAATTCCAAATATGCTTTTTTAGGTTCATTAAGAGCTGCTGCTCAAATGATAAGTTATGAAGTTTGTATTAGTTTAATTATTTTTTCTTGTATTTTATGTGCTGGAACTCTAAATATTTATTCTTTAATAAACTCACAAAGTCAGAGTATTTCTTATATTTTTCCTTTATGACCTATAGCTATAATGTTTTTTATATGTTTATTAGCAGAGACTAACAGAGCTCCATTTGATTTAACTGAGGGAGAATCAGAATTAGTTTCTGGTTATAATGTAGAATATTCTTCAATGTCTTTTGCTCTATTCTTTTTAGCAGAATATTCTCATATAATACTTAGTAGCGCTTTTTTTGTAATTTTATTTTTAGGAAACTGAAGTAATTATTTTTTTATCAATAATTTTATTTTCTTTTTAAAAATGATTCTGTTTATATTTCTATTTATTTGAGTAAGAACTTCTTTTCCTAGATTAAGATATGATCAACTAATGAGTTTATTATGAAAGTCTTATTTACCATTAAGTTTATCATTTATTATTATAACTATAATATAATTCTTTATTATGAGCTTTTTGAGGTTTATCTAATAAATGATGTATATAATTTTTCTTTTATTAATCCCATTTTTAAGTATATTAAATATTTTATTTCTTAAAAGAAATAGTAGTAACATCTTTAATATTTCTTTATCTTGATCTTTAATATTATTATTATATTATATAGTATTTTTTGTTTTAAACTATAGAATTTTTAATTTTCAATTTAGTATAGATTTTAATTGATTGTTAATTAATTCAATTTTTGTTAATTGAAATAACTTTATTCTTTCTGTTGATGGAATATCTATATTTTTTATTGGATTAAGTATTTTATTGATTCCTATATGTATATTGATTAGTTTGAGATCAATAAAGTATTTTAAAAAAGAATTTAATATATTACTATTTATATCAGTTATTTTATTAATAGGGGTGTTTTCTATTTTAGATGTACTATGATTTTATATTTTATTCGAAAGCATATTAATACCAGTTTTTATTATGATTGGTATATGAGGGTATAGAGAAGAAAAAATTAAAGCTGCTTTTTATTTTTTCTTCTATACTTTAATAGGATCTTTGTTAATGTTAATAAGTATATTTAAGTTATATTCTTTAATTGGAACTACTAATTACGAAAATTTATTAATTATAAAAATCCCATATGATATTCAATTTTGATTATTTATAGGGTTTTTCATAGGTTTAGCTGTAAAAATACCAATGGTACCATTTCATATTTGACTTCCACAAGCTCATGTAGAGGCACCAATAGCAGGTTCAATTTTATTAGCAGGAATACTTTTAAAATTAGGGGGATATGGATTAATAAGATTTTGTTATCCAATGTTTCCTTCGGCCTCTCAATTTTATTATCCATTAATTGTTATAATAAGTATAATAGCCATAGTTTATGGCGCTTTGACTACATGTCGTCAAATAGATATAAAACGTTTAATTGCTTATTCTTCAGTATCTCATATGGGTTTAGTAACTGTAGGTATTTTTTCACATTCTATTGAAGGATTAACAGGATCAATATTAATGATGATTGCTCATGGTTTATCTAGTTCAGGTTTATTTATTATAACCTCAATTATTTATTTCAGATTTCATTCTAGAATTATAAAATATTTTAGAGGTTTGACTATTACTATGCCCATCTTAAGTATAATTACATTTATTTTGATTTTAGCTAATATTTCATTTCCATTAACATTGAATTTTATAGCTGAATTATTTTTGATAATTTCAGCTTTTAAATTCTCCTTATTTATAATCTTATTAATCTTATTAGGTGTTTTTATAAATTTAATATATTCTTTATGAGTTTATAATAGAATATTTTTTGGTTCAAATTCAATTCATTTAAAATTTTCAAGAGATATAGTAAATTTCGAATTTCAGAGTCTACTGCCATTAATAATATTTATTATTATATTAGGAATTTATCCCAATATATTAATTAATCCCATAACATTTAGTTCTTATATTAATATTTCTATATAATGAGAATTAGAAAAAATAATCATCTTATAAAACACATTAATTCTACTTTAATCGACCTTCCTTCCCCATCAAATATAAATTATTTATGGAATTTTGGATCCTTATTAGGATTATGTTTTGCAATTCAATTAGTTACTGGTATTTTTTTAGCTATGCACTATTGTGGAGATATAATTTTAGCTTTTAAATCAATAGTTCATATATGTAGAGACGTAAATTACGGATTTCTACTAAAATCAATTCACGCTAACGGAGCTTCTTTGTTTTTTATCTGTGTTTATATTCATATAGGTAAAAGTTTATATTATGGAGGTTATCAAAAAAAACCTATTTGATTTTCGGGTATAATTATATTTATAGTAATGATGATTACTGCTTTTATAGGTTATGTTTTACCTTGAGGACAAATGTCTTTTTGAGGAGCTACTGTTATCACAAATTTCTTATCTGCAATTCCATATATAGGGGATGATATAGTTCAATGAATTTGAGGTGGATTTAGTGTAAATAATGCTACCTTAGGTAGATTTTTTAGCTTGCATTATTTATTTCCGTTTGTATTAGCATCATTAATTTTAATTCATATAGTGTTAATACATAGTGTTGGATCAAGCAATCCTTTAGGAATTAATAGCAACTTTGATAAAGTTCCATTTCACTGATATTTTGCAATAAAAGATATATATGGATTCTTTATATTAATATTTATTTTACTATTCATAGTATTTTTTTATACTAATACTTTAGGGGATCCAGAAAATTTTATCAATGCTAATTCATTAGTCACCCCTGTTCATATAATGCCAGAATGATATTTTTTATTCGCTTACGCCATATTAAGATCTATTCCTAATAAATTAGGAGGAGTTTTAGCTTTAATTTTAAGTATAGTAATATTATTTATTATTCCATTTTTACATACTAATAAATTTTTTTCTTTAGCTTTTAGACCAATAGGGAAATTATTATATTGAGTGTTTATAGCAAATTTTATTTTATTAACTTGATTAGGTTCTAAACCTATAGAAAACCCTTATATATTGATTAGTATAATTTCTAGTTTATTTTATTTTTTTTACTTTTTATTTATTATTCCAATAATAGGAAAATTAGAAAATTATTTATTTTTTCAAAAAATAAGTGTATAATTGAATCACACGTTGAATGTTTTCAACTAATCACAAAGATATAGGAACTTTATATATAATTTTTGGCGCATTTTCTGGAATGATAGGAACTGCTTTAAGTATGTTAATTAGAATAGAACTATCAGCACCAGGAAGAGTAATAGGAGATGATCATTTATATAATGTTATAGTCACAGCTCATGCTTTTGTAATGATATTTTTTTTAGTTATGCCAGTTTTAATAGGAGGTTATGGAAATTGATTTGTACCTATATATATAGGAGCCCCAGATATGGCTTTTCCTAGATTAAATAATTTGAGTTTTTGATTACTTCCTCCAGCATTAATCTTACTTTTAACTTCATTCTTAGTTGAACAAGGAGCAGGAACAGGTTGAACTGTTTACCCTCCATTATCTGGACCTTTAGCTCATTCAGGAGGATCTGTAGATTTAGCTATTTTTAGTCTTCACTGTGCTGGATTTTCTTCCATTGCAGGAGCAATTAATTTTATTACAACTATTTTTAATATGAGAACACCGGGTTTAACATTTGACAAACTTCCTTTATTTGTATGATCAGTGTTAATAACAGCATTTTTATTACTCCTTTCTTTACCTGTTTTAGCAGGAGCAATAACTATGCTACTAACTGATAGAAATTTTAATACTACTTTTTTTGATCCAGCTGGAGGAGGAGACCCTGTTTTATATCAACATTTATTTTGATTTTTTGGTCACCCTGAAGTTTATATTTTAATAATCCCAGGATTTGGAATTATATCTCAAATCATACCTATATTTAGCTCAAAAAATCAAGTTTTTGGATACTTAGGCATGATATATGCTCAATTGGCTATAGCTTTCTTAGGTTTTATTGTTTGAGCTCATCATATGTTTACTGTAGGAATGGATGTTGATACTAGAGCTTATTTTACAGCAGCTACTATGATTATTGCTGTCCCAACAGGAATTAAAATTTTTAGTTGATTAGCAACAATGTATGGAGGAAAAATTAATTTATCTACACCTATGTTATGAGCTACTGGTTTTATATTTTTATTCACTTTAGGTGGATTAACTGGTGTAATTTTAGCTAACGGGTCATTAGATATTTTATTACATGATACATATTATGTAGTAGCTCATTTTCATTATGTTTTATCATTAGGTGCAGTATTTGCTATGTTTGGAGGATTTTATTTTTGATTTGGAAAAATTTCTGGATTTGCTATTAATGAAACTTTTGGTAAAATTCATTTTTGAATTACTTTTATAGGAGTAAATTTAACTTTTTTCCCTCAACATTTTTTAGGATTAGCAGGAATGCCTAGAAGATATGCAGACTTTCCAGATAGTTTATTTACTTGAAATGCTATTAGCTCTTTAGGCTCTATTATTTCTATAATAGGAGTAGTATGATTCATTTATGTAATTTTTGATGCTTTCTATTCAGAAGAAAAATTTATTTCTTGAAATAATTTAGATGTGGAAAAAATAAATACTTTAGAATGATCATTAAATTGTCCACCTAGTCATCATACTTTTAATGAATTACCTTTTATAAACCATTCAACCCATTAAAAACAAGGGAATCAAAAAAACTTTTCGGTTTTCTTCTCTCCTAAAAGAGGATCACCCGACCCCCCCCCCCAGTCCAGGCGCCGCACTGGCGCACCCCCTGCTGCGGCTATCGCAGGGGGCCCCGCGCCGCACCAACCCCCCCTTTTTTCTTGATAAAATTCTTAACTATGCTTATATGATAATAGTAATAATAAAATATTTTCTTTTGCAAAATAAAACTGAATTTATTTATTCTACGCAGTTTAGTTAGTAAAAGAAATAGGTAGAAAGATTTTACTTATTTCTTTTACTAACTAAACTAAAAGTTTAGTATTAGTAAAAGAAATAACGGTAAGTGTTTTTATACTCCTTATTTCCTTATAAGCTCTTCCCAATAAGAAACTTTTTTTATTGAAATTGGTTCAAATGAGTTGCTTATATAGAGCATTCACTGTATTTTTCATTTTTATGCCAAAAAAACTGTATTTTTAATTTTAAAATCGTTTAACAAATTTAATTTAATTAAAAAATAAAACAAATTTATTTTTTAAGAAAATGATATAATTTTTTTTCTATGTGGGAAGGGAGGAGAAAAAGATTTTAGCTCTCTCTTTAACTAAAGTTTAAAAATCCTCAAACAAATTCACTGAATTGAATTAGTTTTGTGTTAACTAGTTTTTTAGAAAACAAAGAGCTTATTTGATTTTAAAAAAATTATTTTTATATTAAATTATTATTAATTATAAGCCTTGTTTTTAAGCCTTGCTAATTCATTGAGTGTAGTTATTCTTTTGGTTTGTAAGAATTTAACTTTTTTATAAATCAACAAAAAAATGCTAAATTTTTTCAATCTGTTTTTATGTCCCTGAGAATGAACCTTTTTTTTTACTTGTTCCCAATAATACACATTTTCGTGCATGTCTTTGTAAATGCAATTAAAGTGTAAATTTACAGTATTTGTAAAAACAGTCATTACATTTTATGTCTTGTCATATCTTAGAACACAGTTAATCTTTTGGTTTGCAAAATCTGAGGTCGTTTTGCAATGCACATTTTTTGCTTGTCCCCGAAAACTACATTTTTTTTTTTTTTTTTTTGCATGTCTTCATAAAGAAATAAAGTATAAAATTTCAGAACTAATAACATTTTTTAAGGAAAATTCATGTACCCAGGCCACCTCACTTTTATTTGAAGAATAAAAAGTTCTAAGTTTTTTTTTCCTTTTTTTTTTTTTTTTTCTTTTTAACATGGTATAAATATTATTTTTACTATGCACGTTAAAAACGTATACAATAAAAAAACATAATATACATAAATACTGAAAATTACATAAAAATTAAAAGAAAGTTAAAGCAGAGAGGAGCTCAAAGAAGATACGGAAAACATTACGTTATCACAATCTTTTTATTAAAGCCCTTTATAAAGACTTATATACTATATCCTAAGAGTATAAAGTTACCGTTAAAATAGTCAAAACAATTAAATAAAAATAAAATAAACAAACAGAAAACCAAAAATATAGTAAAGAAAAGAAAAATTAACTTAAAATAGTCAAACAAATACTAAAAATGCAAGTTTATCTTATAATCACGTTTTAAAAATTTCTTTTTTTGTTTGAAACTTGAACGAGACTTCACCATTAAATTATATTCCTTTTGATAGTCATTCCATAATTTGGGTCCTCGATAAGATATACAATATTCTGAGAATTTATTAAATTTCTATGGCAATTTATAATTGTTGTTACTATTTGATATTAGATTATAATTTTCATTTATATTTTTTTCAAACTTGTTGTTAAAGTTTTCTGGTAAGAGGTTGTTGTAATATCTCTACATAAATATAAGATGCTGATAAGTATTTATTTATTCAGTATTCAAACACATCCATCATTTTCATATCTTTCATAAGAGGTTTGGCATGTTCTTGTTTGTGTTTAGAGTATAATATTCGGCAAGCGTGTTTTTGTAACCTATAACTTTTTTGGAGTTTAGTTGGTTGCGTACTTGCCCATGATATGTTTGCATAATTTATGAAACAGGGAATTAATCTTAATTTTAAATTTAATTTTAAAATTAATTTAAAATTTATGAAAGTAAATACAACAATCACTAATAAAACAGATAAAATTAAAGAAAGAGGGTCAAATTTTTAATGATAAAAATATATACTTGCTAATGGATCATTAATACTTTAATGAATTACGAAATTTGCAGGTGTGCATTCAATTTCTGGCACTGAAACAAAACAATTCTCGTTAATGTTTAAGCTTACACATTAACGAGAATTGTTTTGTGTATCTTATAAAATACAGATTGCACTGTACAACAAAAAAATTCATATTAAAACAATGTTTCTCCAACAGGGTTCATAGCCAACTATTTATATAAAAATCAATGACTTTTTTGAAAAATCAGATGAATTTCCCTGACCATTTTTAACAATGGTTTTTACAAAATGTTTAAAATTACTACCTACTGTAATGGAAATGCTAAGATTGTACATGCTTTCAATGACAAAACTTTTAAAACTTAGCTATTAGTTAAGTTGGATATTAGTATGGATCTTATTATACATGTTAGTATGGATCTTATTATTAAGGATGACTAAGAACGAACACTAAAAAAAAACGTAAGTTTTAGAAAAATTAAATGGGTAGCTCCAAAAAAAACATAATAGCTTAATTGAGTGCTGCATTTTGAAAATGTGACAAGTCACAAAATTAAAATTTTACAAGAGAATGAAAAACATTTCTCCTGTAAAAAATTTTATTTTTATTTTATCTAAAAATTGTTTCTTTTATCCAAAAAAAATCTTTATTTTATCTTATAATTTTATCTTTTCCTAAAAAAAAAATATTCTTTTCAAATAACCTCACTTTCATAAAAAGTGTGGTTATTTGAAATATAAAGTTGTCCAATGTTTGTAAATAATTTTTTTTACATATTTTAATTCTGAATTTTAATAATACAGTTTTTAAAAGTAATATAATCTATAAAAATATTGTATTACCTTCGTCTATTATATAAATTTAAATAAACGTTTATCTCTAAATATTAATACTCTAATGAATAGTGCACATAGTTACGCCTATTGTTTTATAGTTACGGTACGGTTCTGAATTTTGTAAAATACACTTTTTAAGTAGTTTCTTGACTTTTCTTAACCGCGTGCTCTCTTAAAGAAGTCGCAGCCTTTCATGGTACGAGTTCAAAATGTCTAAGTAGGTAATGTTTAATCTAAGTAGATAGGTAATATAAAATCTTTTTAAAATTTTATAAGTAATTAATTTATTTTAATCTCTTTTAAATTGTACTTTTAAATTTAAAGCTTCGTGTTATAGATGTTAATATTGAAAATATAGATATTACTATGGTGTCTACCGTTAAAAGATATTTATGGGTAGTTTTATCAATTTATACTATAAATTATATAATAATAATGGAGGGAGTAAGTTAAAAAGATTTTTAAATTTTTAAAAAGAAATAATACTTTTCAATATATATCTGGTTTTTTTTTGAGGTAGATTTAAAGTTTCAGGTTTTCAAAATTGTAGATCTTTTCAATGTCTAAATAGACATTAAGTATTTCAATGTCTAAGTAGACATTAAGTATCTATAAAATCTTTTAAAAATTTAATAAGTAATTATTTGTTTAAATAAGTAATTAATTGTTTATAATTTATTAAGATTTAAATTATTAGAAAATTCATGTTTACAGAGTTGTTATTAATCATAATCGAGTTGCTCAACCAAAGAAATTGTAGAGGTTTATTTATCAAATATATACTATATATTTTATATAAAAAATTTTGGTTTTCATATATTTTCACTAATAAATAGTTCTATATATATATATTATATATATATATATATATATATATATATATATATATATATATATATATATATATATATATATATATATATATATATATATATATATATATATATAAAACTATATATATAACTGTATATATCCTTGGAGTTGCGGCAGCATAATAGTGTGTTAGGAGAAAAAAATTTATAAACCCGCGTTAATAACCTGTTTTCTATTGTACATAATGCATTAATAAGTTTTATTACGTGTTTTGTTCAATGTTTTCTCTCAACGCATGAACTATGACGCTGTCACAATTTTTTTTTTTTTTTTATTAGAAATAAAATAAATTTTAACTTTTTTTAATAAGTTTTTGCTGATGTGGTTGCAGGTTTTTCTTAACTTCTATCAAATAAACTTAAGAAACCTGTATTACTTTTGATGATGGCAAATTAATTTTATTTTGCATTTGTTTGGTTTCTTTATATATATTTGTTTTGAGAATTTTTTTTTTAATTTTTCGAGTATGATTTTTTTAGTTAATAAGTTTTTTTATTTTATTATTAACTTTAGATTAGTAAAAAAAAAAGAAATAATTAGAGTTGCTTTGATAAATATGTTTAATGAAAATGATAACATTGAAATGGATGATAGGCTAGATGAAGTTATGTACATACGAGATGATGTAAGTTATAGCACAGTTATAGCGTGTTGAAAATAATCGTAGACGAAATGAAAGAAATAGACTTAGGCGAGATGAAATTAATCGTTTACAAAATGAAAGAAATAGGCTAGATCGAGATAATGTTAATCGTCGCCAAAATGAAAGAACAATTGGACAAGGCATATTACATTTATAAAAATTGGCCGGAGCAAGAAGAAGACAATGACTGTCTTATCACCGAGCCCCGTTTAAAAATTGTCCGTGTTTATAAACAAATATGAATAAAATATACAAAAAAACGTTAAAGAGTACATAACTTTTGTCAAATAATAAAATGACAATTATATTAAAAATTTAAAAATAAAGAAAGTTTTGTATACTAGTACAAATATATTTGATACATATAACAAAATATATTTAGTGCTAATGGAAGCGTTTTTTCTATTTTAAAATTACCTTTAAATAAAATAAAAATCTAATTGAAGTAAGATTCTTTTAGAAACTGTTTTAAATTTTTCTAAAGAGTAGTGTTCTTTTACAAAGTTTTTAATAAAATTTTTTCCATAAAAAAGGTCCTCGATATTGAATTCGATAAGAACTTATTTTTAAATTAATACTCGGAACAATAAAGTTATCCTCTGAAAACTTTGTTGGATACTTATGAGACATTTCGCTAAAATAAGATTGAAATATAAGTGGAGATATTCCATGTTTCATTATAAACATGAAAAGTAATGTTTGGTAAATGTTTAGTTTATAAATGTTTAAGGCCTTGAGACGATTTAATAGCGGTTCGCAATAAACAGTTCTGTTTGCCGCAAATACAATCCTACAAGAATGCTTTTGTTTACTATAAAGTTTTTTGAGTTTTCCGTAATTCGTATTTCCCCATGCAATGTTGCAGTAAGAAAGATAGCTGTGAATAAATGAAAAATAAATTTTTATTAGAGCTTTTGCGTTTAAAAATGGTTTTGTTTTATAAAGTACGGAAATATTATGTAGGAAATATAAATTGAATGTTGTCTTCCATAACAAGGTTTCGTCAAGAACTAAGCCTAAAAAGTTAACAGTAGGTTCCCTTTTTACATCTGTTTTATTGAATAAAAGATTTGGCAGTTTAAGTGGAATATTTTCAAATTTATTTGGTTTGGGGAACAGGATGAATTTAGTTTTATCTACATTTATTGAAAGACGGTTACTTATAAACCATTCATTTACTTTAGATAATTCTTCATTGAAAATTTTAAAAAGAATTTTTATATCTCTGTCTGAATAAAACAGATTGGAGTCGTCAGCAAACAATATAAAATATAATTTTTTAGATGCTCAAAAAAAGTCATTTATATACACAAGAAACAATAATGGTCCTAACCCAGCGGGCACGGCAACGTCCATATGACGTCGAAAGAACGTCTTTTTAGGACGTCCAGAACTAGTTCTAAATGGCAACGCCAGATGACGTCTTTTTAAGACGTAATTAGGACGTCTTTTTAGGACGGAATAAAAACGTGTTTTTAAACGTTCAAAAGGCGTGAATTTAGGACGTTCAGAACTAGTGCTAAATGGAAACGCCGAACGACGTCTTTAAATAACCTAATTTAGACGTCTAAAATACGAGTCCCAACATGGCTTTACTTGAACGTAAGGTTCAAATTTATGTTTTCACAGAACTTCTTGAGAATAAGAAAATAAGAATAAGTCATTTAAATTGTTTATTAATATAATTGTGCTAAGTTTTATAAATTACAACTTTATAAACATCTTCTTCCACTTGCAAATTTCCAAGAATCGAATTTTCGAACAGTTGACGTCATTCACCTTCTTTTCGATCAGATGCACTCTTTAAAATATTGCCACCAGCATTTTAAAGTTTTTTTTTTTGCTGTAGAAATACACACATATAATTATTATTTTATAAACATAACATCAAACATCTAAAAATACGAATTTCTCAACACTAAATTTATTTTTTTAAAGAAAAATTTTGACTGCATTGTTGTGACCAGCGTATATATTTATGTATATCAAGTATGCAATATAATTGCGGTATTAAAAATGCACTTTTTATAGTAAAATTATACTTACTTTGAAAGCATGCCCTTCTCAAATGCACTGCATGATGAGCCACCAACATTTAATAACTTCTATTTCTAAATTCAAAAGATAACACTAGTGTAATTGATATGGGACAATTTAGTGTAAGTTATATTGGGCATAGGAGCAATTCATTAGTGTTTTATTCAATTCAAAAGTTTTGTGTAAATTATGTATTGTTTTGGGAAAAGCAAAATTTTGAATCACAGATTTTCAAATTTTGGAGGAGCTGAATGAATTAAAGAAGTTGTTACTAATAAAAATTCATTTGGCATATTACATAAAATAAATTATACTACATTAACCATTACATAAAATGAACTATTGCCGAAACCGTTGTTCTATTTTTTTTTTACCGAAAGCAAAAATAAAAATGAACTTTAGAGTTAAATACATTTAATCAAATAAAACTTCTTTAATTTAAAACAAAATTAGATACAAAAACTACAAATACATCAGTTCTAGATTCCTAAATGCATATTTAAATAAATGCAATATGAGTTTTTGAAATACAAAACAAAAATGTAACATAATATTACCAAATACAAACATGTATTTGACCAAAACATATATATCAACTGACACTTGATGTAGTTGACACTCCTAAAAATAAAATCTTAATTAACAAGTAAATAAAATTTATGGAAAAGTAAAAAATATTCTTACAAGTGTTATTTTTTTAGCATTAGCATTATTTATTTTATTTTTTTTAAATTTTTTTCTGTTTAACTTTAAATTGTATCTAATAGATGTTTCACACTATCTATTTCTAAATTTTAACTAATACTACAAAATCTACTAATTTTAACTAATAATAACTAATAATTCTAAATTTTAACTAATTCTAATAATTTTAAATTTTAGCAAAACTCATTTTTATTTTATTTATTGACATATATTTTGTATTTTTACTATTAAAACTGGCGCTATAAGTAAGGATTTTAAGTAGAGATTTTTCTATTATTTAAGGAGATTTGGTCACGAAAGTCAACTTTTTGAAAGAAAAATTAGCAGAATTAAGGAGAAAATAACTACATTGAAAACAGAATCTTAGTTTTTTCAATAAATTTTAGTTTTTAGTATTTTCAAAAAAAACAGAAAAATTATTATAAATTAACATATTACTTATATATATATATATATATATATATATATATATATATATATATATATATATATATATATATATATATATATATATATATATATATATATATATATATACATATATATATATATATATATATATATATATATATATATATATATATATATATATATATATATATATATATATATATATATATATATATATATATATATATATATATATATATATATAACCCTTGGAATTGGGTCGGCATGCAGCAATGCCAATCTAAAAGTGTTTGAGGTCGACAAATAGTGCTGATCTTGTTTATATATTTAATGGAAAGACTTTTGAATCACTATTTTTTGCTTTTTTAATTGATGTCGACAAATAATTGCCAACCTTTTTATTCTTAATTCCAAGGGTTGTGTGTGTGTGTGTATATATATATATATATATATATATATATATATATATATATATATATATATATATATATATTTATATATATGTATATATATATATATATATATATATATATATATATATATATATATATATATATATATATATAAATATAATAGAATTATAGGTTTGCAATCAATCAAAGGACTATATAATTTCTTTATTAATAAGTATTATCCATTCACTTTAATAAAATTTCCTTGATGATAAAAAAAAAAAGGAGAAATTAAGGAGTGTTTCTTATCGGTTACTTAGTAAATTGACAATAACATTCCAACCTGTGATATAGTGGTTATTTTGGCTGTTGCCACTAATAGGCCATTAAGTAAACAATGACCAAAACTGCAATGACCTAAAATGCCTATATAGCTCCACTGAAATTATGATTTAAATGTTTTTGCTGTGTTATACATTTTTTTACTAAATACTAAAACTTAAACCATAAATTTTCAAAATATCATTATAAAAAATCATTTCAAAAAAATATTAAATCAATTCCATCTTTAAATATACTTTTCTTATTCTTATTTAAGTTGGATAAGTTACTAAAATATAAATTTTATCAAATAATATAAATATTGATTTTAAATAAAATTATTCGTACTGAACTTTTAAAGTATGATAAAAGAGAAAAGTTATTTACATCTATCTTCTAAAGGATACTTTTAGATAATCAGATAATAAAAGAGTAGGATAAGTCACTAAAAAATATCTAATTAAAAAAATTAAGCAAGTAATACAGTTATATAAAAGACAGGTAGGCAGAAAATTTCCTTTAGAGTAACGGAAATTTTCTACCCTCCTGTCTCTTATATAACTGTTACGACTGGTTTATTTTTTTCAATTAGACTTATTTTTTAGTCAAAACTTTTTAACTTCACTAATAACTAATTACTAAAGTTAAGTAATTGGTTATTAGCGTAGTTCCAAAACTTGATATTGTAATATTTCAAAAAGTTCATTAACTAATGTACAATTATTTCGTTACAACTTTTGTTACAACTAATGTAACAATTATTTCGAATAGAACAATCTAAAAGTTGTTAATTAAAGATATTGAATTATATTGAATTATTAGCATAAACTCTCTGTATTATTAATAGGTTTTCCTTTTGAAAAATATGACTGTGCATGAGATTCTGCGATGTTTAAGTCTTTCAAACAGTCAGAACTTGGTTCTCGATATAGTATATCAATTATTATACTTGAAATACTATATCAAGTGTCAAGTATATACTTAATATATATATATATATATATATATATATATATATATATATATATTTTATTTGTATATATATATATATAAATATATATATATATATATATATATATATATATATATATATATATATATATATATATATATATATATATGTATATATATATATATATGTATATATATATATGTATATATATTTATATATATATATATATATATATATATATAGTATATCATATACCCAGTTTTTAACTATTTATGTCAATA